GTGAGAGATGAATGTATTTTGATCCTATAATCATGTCATTACTTGAATAAATAGGCACAATCTTTTACAGTCAAAAAACAAACGAGGCTATGTGAATCTATGCACTGGTCATACAATTCCCAAAGAATTGGTTAAGTAACAACAGAAGAGCCCAGAACATGGGAGAGAGGGGGGTAGAATCCGTGAGAGAGGCATCAAGAAGCATCAACCTTAAGATGCTATTTACAGGGGTGCCTGGGTGGCTCTGTCAGTTAAGTGTCTGACTCTTGGTTTCACTCAGATCATGACCTCAGGGTCATGAGATCAGCCCACCTTGAGGGCCCATGATGGGCTCCGTGTGGACTCTGCTTGTCCCTCTCCCTTCCCCTGTGCCCCTGCACTTTTCTCTCTCTTAAATAAATAAATAAATAAATAAATAAATAAATAAATAAATAAATAAAATCTTTAAGAAAAAAGATGCTATTTATATTATGTAAGTAATTGGATATTTCCTTTTTCAAAGTAACCTAATTATAGTTTTCATCATGTCAGGAAAATAGTTTTTCTCAAGGCAGGAAAAAAAATCTGAAATAACATTAAAGATCTTTTCTTGCTTTAGTTTTTATAATTAACTATTCTTATTTGACATTTATTACCCATTTATTTTTCAATTATAATTTCTTGGATTCTTCTGAAATTGTGTGTCATTGTGTGGTGGAGGTTATTTGTTTTGGTTATAATGGGACAACTGATTATATTTACATGATTCTGAAACAACAATATATGTTCCTTATAGAAATTCAAATTATACCAAAAATAAAAATAAAATGTAGAGCCATATGGAAATCTACAACTCAGGAGTAACTTCCATCAGTCTGGATAACCACTTTTTCATCAGACATCTCTCCATATATGGATATCAACATACAAGTATAGTTTTAAAATTTGATATGAGTGTGATCATACTTAACATGTTGTTCTGTAACCTTTTATTTCTCCCACTTGGACACATATCATGAACATCTTTTCATGTCAGTAATTACAGAATTATGTCATTATTTTTATTTTTTTTAAGTAGGCTCCATGTGCACTGTGGAGCCCAACACAGGGCCTGAATTAATGATCAAGACCTGAGCTGAGATGAAGAGTCAGACGCTTAACTGACTGAGTCACCCAGGTGCCCCATGTCATCATTTTAAATGGTTGTGCTATTCCCTACCACATATGGATTCCATAATTTATTTACTCATTCCCTATGGATGAATATTTTTTCACTATTTTGAAACAAGCAGGCAGAGGGAGAGGGAGAAGGAGACACCCCGCTGAGCAGAGAGCCAGACACAGGGCTCAATCCCAGGACCCTGGGATCATGATCTGAGCCAAAGGCAGCCGCTTAACCGACTGAGCCACCCAGGAGCCCCAAATTGTGTATTGTTCTTATTTAATTCTCTTCCATCCTAATTTTACTTTTTCACTCTAATAAAAATGAAAAGGAGGTGCTTAATGACTAGCTTGTCCAATCATCTGTAGATAAGTGACTTCTTAAAATGAATATGACATGAAGATATTGTCACTGTATCCACAGAAGTGATCTGACAACCAGAGGTTGATGCAGCTTGAGCACTTAGTGAGTAGAAAACATTGTATCGACACTCTCGTTTTAGACATTTTAGCCAAAGAAATCAGGCCACTTCCCTACAGTCACGCTCCATTGCTGCTGAGAGCCTGCATCAGGCCCCTGATGAGTTCCCCCATGGAGCTAATTACCTGGAGAAAGGAAGGAGGCAGAGATGATCATCCCCTGTGGAATTTGCTCTTACACTCCATAGCTCCTCCTCAGCCCACCGAAGTATCAAAACTACGATTTTCCCAAAGAGGCCATGTCAACTCTGATGTTACCAGAGGGCCATCATATCAACCAAATCAAGATCTGGTGGAAGGAACACTGAAGAGAGGCCAGAATCCACCTAGCAGGCCTACAGAGGTGAAACGAAGTCCTTCTGCCTGTTACCAAAAGAAGCTCGTGCTTACCAAGGGTGTACGTCTTGATGCTGACTTTATCTGTCAAAGGGTTCCTGGTCATCTCTCCCCTCCTGCCATCATCCTTCTCTCTGATCACACCCCGGGCAGTGGGTGCCCATTTCTCAAAACATCCCCAAATTCAACCTCTTCAGTGAGTCCCTTTAGGTTCCTGAAGGGAGTGTTAGCACAACACGATTTCCACCTGATGCTCTATCAGCTCTGTCTCCTTAGCTTTTTTTCCAGTGGGAATTCCCATGGGTCTCTTTTTCAGCTATATCAACTGTGGTGTAGTTCTCCTTCTAGCACTTTCTGAGAGAAAAATTCTACACAAATACAACCATTTCTGCCCCAGAATATAGGCATTCTCTTAGGGCAGAGAAGGAGCACATCAGGGGTGGTATGTTTGGTGCATAACACAAATGAAAATTCTGTTTTTTGCTTTTACAACAGTTTAGTTTTGTTAAGCAGCTGTCAGTGTGGCTTTCAGTAAGGGGCATCTGTAGCTACGTTTTCCCCGTGCCCTGGTCCCATCCAATGTCAATATATCATTGACTTTGATTTACTGCAAGTTCCTTCCTCTGCCTATTTGGTGAGTGCATCTAACAATGCACCTTCAAAATCTTGTTATTTGGTGGTGAATACCCAGGGGTCACTTCTTTCCTGAAGAATCATGGTACTTGAGATGAAGAGGAATGCTCCTGAGACAAGGGTTGCCTGATTTAGCAAGGAAAAATACAGGCTTAAATGTGAATTTCAGATAAACAACAAATATTCTTTAGTATAAGTACATCCCAAAATTGCACACTTACTTCTGGAATGTACTTATACCATGTGCAACATCTTACTAAAATTATTAAAATATTCTATTAAAAATTATTCATTGTTGACCTGAAATTCAAATTTGTTTAGGTGTTTTATATTTTATCTGGCAATCCTGTCTGAGATCAATTTACATATTCTACAGAGACCAGAGCTGGACTATGTCAGAGTAAACAGCACATTTTTTAACTTTCCCAGTAAGTGGAGGGGTAGAGTGGTAGTCTTTCCCCACTAAAAATGGCGCAGGAAGGGCTATTCGTTCCAACGTGCACATCTGCTTAGGACTGACCCAGAATCAGGTTGGATAAGCTGTATCTGTTTAATAGTGTTGTGTATGTCATTACTTGAAGCTCCTCATGGCTACTTTTGGAGTCATGCATTTTATTTTTATTATTATTATTATTTTTTAAATTTATTTGTCAGAGACAGAGAGAGAGAAAGCATAGCAGGGGAAGCAGCAGGCAGAGGGAGAAGCAGGCTCCCTGCTGAGTAAGGAGTCCTATGTGGGACTCGATCCCAGGACCCTGGGATCATGACCTGAGCTGAAGGCAGACGCTTAACCAACTGAGCCACCCAGGCATCCCTGGAGGCATGCATTTTAATTAATTGCTATTCTTTTATACTTCTTCCCTGAGGTGGTTTTTCAAAATCTTAATCTATAAATCTAATCAGTAGGTTCCTGGGTCTATTTAAATACTGACATTTAAAAATTTTTGAGGATGGCAGTGAACATTAATGAGATGGAGGATATACAAGAGAAATGAAATATAATTGCCGTTGGATTCATGACAGAATTGATAAAAAAAAAAAACTTCTCCGAAGTGTTACACGGAAACACATTTCTTTCAGAGCATGACATTTCTAAGCCATGTCTGAAGGTCCAACCAAGGTTTAGTGTAACTAGTATAAAGTTGAAATGACTCATAGTAAAACAAAGTCTGAATGTCAAACTGGAATTTTAATAGACTCTAACACTAACCTGATTATACGCCTAGAATATTAAGGTCAACAATTTTCCAACAGTTGGATAAACTCTTCGATAAAGGAAGCCTGCTGCCGCTGAGCACAGCTGCACTGCCAGCCACTAGCCTTAACTTTTTAGAAAGGAGAGTTTAGGTCCTACCCCACCCCCATTCCTCTCCTTTTAAAGAATTGGCATGGTTTGGGCTTACGGTGGGGGAAGAGGGGCTCTATCATAGCTTTGTTACCATTCCCCTCAAAGTTCTGTAACAGAGTGGTAGATTAGAGATGGCCACAAATTCTTTGCTCTTTTTCACATTGAAAAGTGAATACTTTCCTTCCCCTCGAATCTGGACTGGCCTTAGAGACTTGCTTGATGAATAGAATGCAGCGTAAGTGACATGCTGGGAGTTTTGAGACCATTTTATAAAAAGCTTTTTGACTTCCACCCAGGCCTCTTGAAATGCTCTCTCTCTGGGAGCCCTGAGTTACCATGTCATTGCCTAAGAGCACGTAGCTGGAGAGGCCATGTGTAGGTCTTCTGGTAACTGTTCCAATGGAGTTCAGCCTTCCAGCCACCATCCAGGCACACCTGTGAGTGAAGCCATCTTGGGCCTCCAGACACCGCCCCTCCCCCAAGTATTACCAAGGGACTTCATATTGATGCCTCCTCGAACAGAAGAACAGCCCAGCCAAGCCTGGTTGGAATTCTTGACCTCTGAAATCATGATATAAGATGGTTGTTATTTTAAGCCATTAAGTTTTGAAGTAGTTCGTTAAGCAGGTAACCAGAACAAATAGTGATGTATTGATCTTTACACTTAAAAAGAGAATGAGGTAGGAAGAAAAAAGGGGTGGACGGATGGGAGGAGTGGAATAGAAGGAGATCATAAATGCCTTGGACACAAATGAAAGATGGGTTAGGGATTTAGAAGGCTTAGAGCAAGTTAAAAAAAAAAATCAGAGTCACAAATTTTTATCAGGCTACTACTGTGATTTAGGGCTACACTCACAACTTGGCCCGACTTCTTAGGGATTCAGAGGGAAAAGAGCAGTAAAGTCTTGCCTCACACAGATGCTGTGAACAGTAATGAATAAACATGACAAATAAAAATGCTTCAAATAAGAGCTGAAAATGCTAAATACGTAAGGAGCAATCTTTGCACCTACTGAAAATTGTTCATCAGATGATTTCAAATTGAAGGCATCTCAGGAGAAAGTAACTTTGAAAACACAAACAGGCTTTTACTTTTTGTACTTTTATTGAAAAGGTACATTTAAAAAAATACACAGACATTTTACCATTTACAGATTGCAGATATAGATGCTCTAAAAGAGTTCACTCTATTTTGTTGTTTTATGATACCTCTTGCCCCTGATACCACAAACATTCCAGTCTTGTTGATACCAGTTTAGAAAGGGGGGCATGGGAGCATGACCTGCAATATATTCGGTGAACAGAAAGACAAATTGTTCAATTATAAATTTTTTATCTTCTGTACATTATTGCATCAGGGAGCCACAAAATTATGTAGCATCATTACAAATGAAACAGGTTAAAAATGAAAAAGATAATTACGTAGAAATACATGGATTCATTGTCTCCTTGCAGAATGCACAAGAGGTGCAAAAATGTGCAACTTAGGAAGCTCTTTTTTTCTGGTTGTATACATTTGCTTAGCAACTCAAACTAAAGTGAGGAAGCTACAAAATAAGTTAAACAAAAATAGCAAACAGGTAGTAATTATAGCTATATTATATGGCTTTCTAGTTCTTTTAAATATCACCAAATAAAACGTGAAATAAACAAAATACATTATCTTTTGTTCTCTTAAAGAGAAAATTCAAAGCTACTTTGCTTCCTAACATTTACACAGCAACTAAAAATGTTGAATTCAGACAAGAGATACAGAACTAGTACTACACAGGATACAACAGTACTTGGGTCTAAAACAGTACACAATCCCTGTCGACAAGAGTACACCAGAAAAGAAAACATTGTGATCCGTTGGTAAGATGGTATCCACAAGTAAGCACTTGTGTTCATCTATTTTTGTTCCACACTACAATGTGCCCAGTTGGATTCCAGAGTTATTTACAGACGTGTGAGGAAGACCCTAGTTTTCAAGTCTGTCAGGAAAATATTCCTTATCGTTTTCTAAGCCAGATCACACCCATGGAAAAAGAGTCAGCGAATGGTATATAGATACATTGTTTTGTTTTGTTTTCTGACCGATACATGTGCAAGAAACCAATTATCTCAGATACACAGATGGAGTGGGGTGGGGGGAGGGGACAGGGGCATAAAGCCTGGGCTGCTCAGATCCCTAACGGTGGGAGCGGTCCCTAAAAGCACTCTTGAGCCTAGTGATTTCTCAGTCTTTGGAGTCGGGGCCGGGGGGGGGGGGCCGGGGGGGGGGGCTGCAACGCACTCTTGAGCCTAGTGATTTCTCAGTCTTTGGAGTCGGGGCCGGGGGGGGGCTGCAACGCAGACGCTCCCGCCGCCGCCGCCCCCTCGGGCCCTCCCCCTGCAGCGGCCCCGGGGCGCGGGCCGTCAGTAGGGCGCGAAGAGGATGGAGGCGGGCGTGGCGCGGAGGGGCCCGTGGCCGGGCCGCAGCAGCGCGGGCGGGATGGCGGGCGCCTGGAAGAGCGACGCCGACGGCCGGGGCGGCAGCGACAGCGCCGACGACACCGCGGCCGCCGCCGCCAGGGGCGACGACAGGAAGGCCGGGGCCAAAGGCTTCATCATGTCTTTCTGGAATGCAAGTTTTGCCTAACGGAGGGAGAGAACCGGACACGGGGTGGGGAGATGGTTTTCGATAAGCACCGCGGACATCTTTTCGCAACACAGACGTTAAGAAGTCGGCTTTTCAAGACCGTGACTCTCAAAAGTCAGGACATTATTTTCACAAGGCTGGGTTTCAGAGGCTCTTGCATACCTTTGCTTTGATTTGTTTCCATTTCCACTCTTTTTCTGGTGGCCCTTGCCTCTAGGCACTAGGAAGCGGGGGGGGGGGGGGGAGCCTCTCTGAATAGATACTAAAGCTATTTTGTGCCGCTTCTTCTCACAAAGAAAAAACAAACATACCCAGAAAGTTTCCTGCTTAGATAATGGAGCTCAATTTAAAATTCTGACTACTCGTAAACCACAGTGCAGCTTTGAGAGAGGTTTTCTGGGCGGGGTGGGGGGGGGAGGGGGGAGTATGCCTGACCCTACACTTGTCTCTGAAGAGCTGCACTGGGTGAAGTAACTGGGGTTCAGGACGTTAGGGACCTGTTAAGCGTCATGAAAACAAAGTCAGTGTGCACCTCTTTCTCTGGCCACTTAAAGAGTATTCCCTGAAAAACTGCAGCTAACTCAAATTTCTGTCGTTGGGAAGGATTGTAAGTGTGCTAGAAACATTCTCTTTTTAAAGGAATCCCAAGGTGGAATCTTCTTGTAAAGTAAGAAATCAATCCTTAATTTCTCTCTTTTGCAATCAGGAGAAGCTTTGCACACTGGATTTGTTTAATGCAGGTAACACCTGCTTGCAGCATCAGATGGAGGCTTTGCAGAAGCTGGGAGCATCGCCTCCAGCTGGCCAATCCCGCTTCAACCTCAAATGGAATGCCACACTGGGCTAAGTCCCAGGGAGATTATAAAATCCATCCATCTGGGTATTTATATGACATCTATTGCTGGCGCCCCTGGGTATTTTTGCAAAGAAACTGAAAACAGCACATATTGAGAGCAGGTAGGACAGGCTGAATACCAACATGCCTGCGAGACAGGGAAAGAGAGAGTAATACCAACACCCACTTTACTTTCTGGAGAAGGAGGGGTGGAGAGGTGGGTGTAGGAGGGAGGAGAGGGAGAGCTCTCTAGAAAGGAGGACGGTATCAAATGGATGGAGTTTTGTTTAAGGAAAGCAAGCCCTCTTCCAGGTTCAACACATTCCAGGATTCCTCAGGATTACTTGTCTTTGTTCCTGAGCCTTTGTTTTTCTTTATATGCTAAAGAAGGTAGTCTTTGGAAAATGTCCTGGTAAAGAGTAAGGTATTAGCTCTTAAAGAGGTTCAGTTTCTCTTCTCTAAAGCAGCTTCCTTCAAGGTGTCCTACAGCAGAGACTAAGCAGTTCCTTCTAAACTTCTAAACTTCTGTCTATGAGGGCTACGGATATTCAAAACCTTTCAGGACCAGTTAGTCCCTAGGCCCTCCTAACCCACAGTCCTTGCCTAAGCCAGGAAGGTGGACCCACGAAACAAGTGAGCAGGTGAGGTGAACTTACTGCTAAAATGCTTGGGCTCCGCTGGAGTTTATTGTAAGGGCTGTATTTCGGCTTCAGTGGTTTCCCTGCAACTCGATCCTTATGCCTTCGGCTAGAAATGTGCTGAAAAAAGTTTGATGCATTAGCTGAATCTAACTGTGAGCTTTACTCCATGTAAAATATATTTCCTAGATAGAGGCAGCAGGTTGCTCCATTCCCAGTTCTGGCTCCACAGTTCCCCGGTGGTGAGGATTAGATCACCGCGCTCTCAAAATTCAGACTTGCTCCCCACTCAGTTGTGATGCCTCTCTTCCTTTCCTTTCTCTGTAGTACTTACCTGGCTTTGCCTGTTGTTACCGTCGTGACTGATGAGTCTGTCTCCCTAACCACCTTTTGGTCTGTGAAAGACAGGCTGAACATCTTGTCTTCCAGAAGTTCCTGCTCGACTGACTACAAGCTCCAGGTTGAATGCTGTACTCACCTAGCCCAGAACCATCATGTAGATTAGATAGATACACAAGCCAGTGGTTGATGAGGGAGCAGAAGGCTAGCTGAGGACAAAGCAGAAGCTGACACCCTACACCCTCCCCCCCCCACAATGTGATATGTGTGACATTCCTCAGGCACTCCTGGCTGCCCTAAAGGAAAAACAGGTGGTTAACTGATCGAGATCACGGTCCTACAGGAGAGGAGTTTCCCTCAGTTCACAAATTTAGTGAACTGAGGGAACTTTAGTGAACTTTAGTGAACTAGTGATTTACAAGGAAGGAGCTTTCTTATCAATAGCCTAACTTCCAGAGACCCAGAACTCAGTTTCCGGAAGCCCTAACATCACCCTCCCCTCCATAAAATAAAGGGAGGCTGAGGCGGAAGGAAATGTAAATAAAATTGGAATTTCTTTTTGAACCTGAAGCCCATTGACAAGGACGTGTGTTAGGAGGAACGTAACATTCCTCCAGGAAACTCCCAACTGTCTTCCTGTTAGTGCCTCATTAGAGGGAAAAACAGCCTTGGCTTGACAATCAATAACCAGGCCTCCAGTATCCTGAGAGTCTTCTTTAGCATATGACAGTCCTCTGGACACCCCCTTTGTCCTCACCTCCCCAACTCCTGAGTATATAATCTGCCACGCCTCACAGCCCCGGGGCCGCAGCTCATTCTGCCCGCGGGTCCTGTCCCTGGGCTTTAATAAACCACCATTTTGCACCAAAGACATCTCAAGAATTCTTTCTTGGTCATCTGCTCCAGACCTCACCCCACTGAACCTCACCTATAATTTAAAACTTCATTGGTGGTGACCCAACAACAGTGAATACTAATTCAGGATACATTACCTGCTTGAGCTGAATTTCTGAATTAACATGAACATCACAGATTTCACAATGAAATGTCTTGTTCTGTAGTCCTGAGCCCTTACTGCCATTCTGCATCTTTAACCTTGATCCAGGTCTAGGATAGGACTTAATTGGACCAGCCCCATTACGAGCTTCAACCATGGTCTTGTGTTTGGATCCTAAGACAGAAAGAGACATACATTAAGTAAGTAGCTATTTAAGAACTGAATAGATATATGAATAGCTCTCTGTTTTCTTATCTTTGAGAAGTTTATCTTCAGGCCGAATTTCTCATTGCTTTTTAAAAAAATAATCATTTTAATGCTGATTATAAACAGTTTTTATTTATTATAAACAATGACACTGATTATTCAACACATTTTTGTGGTAAAAAATGGGAAAACATGAGTATATTATGGAGAAAATATGGAAAATATAGAGAAGCATAAGTAAGATTACCCTATCTATATTTTCACCACTCAGAGATAACGACTGTTATCATTTTAGTTTTCTTTTTCAGGTTTTGTTTTGTTTATATACTAAAAAATACATATATTTTCAAAATTGGGATCATACTAGTTAAATATCCTGAAAATTTCACACAGCAAATCATATACTTTTTTTTTTAATAGTTACATTTTAATGACGGAGCACTATGTTCTCTCATGTTGGGTTACTATAATATAGCATTCGACGTTTCCCTACTGAGGGACTTTTAAATTGTTTCTCTTTTTTTCTAAGTGTGTTGCAGTGAACATTGTGCATAGATATTTGTCTTCATCTCTGTCACTTCATCGTAATGAGTTTTGGGAAATATTAGATGCTTTTGAGAAAATAAAGAACAGAATAAGTTTTATCTCCAATTTGCTTTAAACTTTTGCCTTGCTGTTTCCAAAATTATGATATCCTACTTTTCTTAAAATCATTCCTTTGAGTCATAAAAGCAGAGAAGACACGGAACAAACCTAACGTCTAAACAACAAAAGATACGGTATTCTGCTGGGAAAAGTTGGGTTTTGTTATAAGCACGATTTAAATTCAAATGATAGCTGCTAACCTGTGTTGTGTGCCTCTAGCTGGGACAGGGAGTTCACAGCCACTTTGCATAGTGAACAATACAGTAATTTTTTGGCTTTTTCTTCTTCTGATTCAGAAACAGTACCAGGAGCTCCGTTTGTGCTCTTCGAGGGAGAAGCGGCTGTCCCAGGTGGCAAGGATGCTGTGCCAGATTTGAGGAGATAGGAGCCCCCTTCGGAGCCTGATGGCTGACTGCAACTGTTGACTTTTAGCTTCCCTTTATTTTCTAAGAGAGACGCAGAGAGATCATATTGACACTTCATGTACCGTATCAACACATGGAAAATTGACATAGAGGAATTACACATAGAAAATGGATTTCCATATATAGTTTTAATCTCCAGCACAGATTTTAGTTCATTGAACTTGACTGAAAAAGAACTCCATGCCATCAGTTTCCAGTATCAGCTCACCCCTAGATTATGATGACTTATGAAAAATGTACTTTTTTTCTCCCACTGGTGGCATGTAACTTTCTGAGAACCTTGAGTTGTAAATTATGCTCCAGGGAAGTTTTTCATGTATAGGAAAACCAACTTCTTTCCAATACGAGTACATGATATGATGGTAACGTGAAATAAGTCAATCGTCAATTGTGGTTTCATTTGACTATTCATGCTTTCATTATGACATGGACATGAAATTAAAATTCAGTTTTTATACCAAGTTAGCATTTTAACTTTGGGGTATTGGGGTAGAGGTGAGGGAAGAAGCATGGTTAATTTGGGTTATGGTCAGTTAAGTTTTTGCTGCTCTTTGAATGGCAAAGCAATTTATCTAAAATACAAGATGTGGGCGCCTGGGTGGCTCAGTTGTTAAGCGTCTGCCTTCGGCTCAGGTCATGATCCCAGGGTCCTGGGATCGAGCCCAGCATTGGGCTCCCTGCTCGGCAGGAAGCCTACTTCTCCCTCTCCCACTCCCCCTGCTTGTGTTCCTGCTCTCGCTGTCAAATAAATAAATAAAATTAAAAATAAATAAATAAATAAAATACAAGATACAAAGATTTAATTCATTATACTTATGACTACCAGTCTAAATTATGTTTTTTTTTTTTTTTTTTTTTAAGTAAACTCTACCCTCAATGTGGGGCTCAAACTCACGACCCTGAGATCAAGAGTCACATATTCTACCAGTTAGGCCAGCCAGCCGCCCCTAAAATCTTAAGTTTTAAGTAATGATGTTAACCATAAGCACAATATGAGGATTAGCCAAATCATTTATAGACATCTTGGCATTTTGATCATGTAGCTACTAAATGTTCTAATTCTCAAGGCCCATGCTGCAAGCTATAAGGAGGCTCAGAGTGACTTTAACAGAATTTCACTCTTCAGGGTACATTTGCTATTCAAGACAGGTTCTGTTCAGTGGCTCCTTTGGGAAAGAAACTGGAACTTCTTAGGCAACAGCCTAATCCATCACACATTTAAGCTGAGTAGAGCTGGTGCTCTCAGAAAATGTCTACTGATGTGCTGATAAAGTCTTATTAAGAGGGGAAGGAAATTAAAACTGAAAACTTATTTGTTAATTGTCCTAGCTAATTGGAACTATGTGCCATGGGCCTGGATCACCAAGAGGGAAGGAGTGACTGGAGGAACTGCAACATGATAGTGTGTGTCTGATCTGCAGATGGGGCGAAGCCAAAGGTTTCATTTGCATCAAAAATAATGGGAGATCATATTTCTACCTGTTTGATTTTGGAATCAACAGTTGATTTCCATCCCTTTTTCTGCACTGAATCCATCCAGGTCAAGACTAGCGGGGATTCTATAGATGAATTCCAGATCTGGATGGTGTTTGGAATAAGTAAATGCTCAGATTCATTTCTTATCCTTGGGTTTCACAATTTATATTCCTTTTCAGCAAGTTTATTAAAACTTCAGGATGCCATGAAGTATAATGGAAAAGATCTTAGACTCTTACTAAACTGACTTTCATAGCATGAGAGAAGGAAATAAAATCAATCTTCTTAAATGGTAACAGTAAGTAAATTAGATTGAAGATTATTTCAGGCTTGGAACTCTCATCTATAAGGATCCCTCAGACTGATTTTACGATATTATAGAACTCACAAAGCAGTGAAATAATTCAGTAATCTTAACATTTGCACCTATAGAATTACTCAGTTTCTTGTGATGGAACTCAAGTTATTGCAGAGCAAAATCTTTGCTTCAAGCATTTCATAAGATATTTCATATAAATTTCACCTAAAGAATCTGACCTGTTTTAGTCATTTACTCATTCTCTCTCTTATTTGTATTTATTTTATTGTCCCTTATATTGATCTCCCTCATATACTCTTATTTATATAGAATGTTACAATTTACAAAGTGCCATCATTTACATTATCTTATTATCTGTCACAACAAACTTGTGAAATAGGTAAGGCTGAAAATAATTATTCCCAGGGCGCCTGGGTGGCTCAGTTGGTTAAGCGACTGCCTTCGGCTCAGGTCATGATCCTGGAGTCCCGGGATCGAGTCCCGCATCGGGCTCCCTGCTCGGCAGGGAGTCTGCTTCTCCCTCGGACCCTCCCCCCTCTCATGTGCTCTCTTTCTCATTCTCTCTGTCTCAAATAAATAAATAAAATCTTAAAAAAAAAAAAAAAGAAAATAATTATTCCCATCTCAAAGATGAGAAAACTCAGGCTCATCAAAACTGAATAATGTCCCACAGATTAGTAGGTGGCATAAATGAGCATGAGGTTTTCTCTAACTATTCACTGGGTAGTGTATTCATCTTCCTGCACAAAGGGTGGACTTCATGTGGCATTAACATTATAAAAGGCATACAGTGGTCACTGGAGATGTGATAAAGCTGTTGCTTTCTTTAGTTTTAAAGCATATATGCCTTCAGTGAAAATATCTAGCCTATTCAACAATCATCTGATTCAGAGAAGATGGACAGAATTATCTTTTTCTCTCTATTCCTATTTCTTTAAGAAAAATTAAACAGATTTCCTTTCCATATCTCCTTTTCAAAAGAGGTCATTTATTCATTAACAAATGAATATTAACAAAATGCTATTGCTGACAATGTGCTAGACACTGAAGAGAATAGTAAATAAAGTAGGTATAGACTAAGAAAATAGAAGTTTAGCAGGGAAAATGAGATAGTCACTCAGAGATCTCTAATTTATGACAGAAACGGGTAAGAGGCATGGGAGCATGGAGCAGGAAATGATTTCTTTTGGTCAGGAAGAGAGAGGCATTCTTTATAAAGGAAGTGATATTTTGGCCAGGTTTTGAAGGTCAGATTTAGATAAGCACAGGATGAGGTGAGAAGGAACCGGAAGTGAATGGTTAGAGGTGGCAACATGAGGAGATGCTTAGGTGTTAGAAAGCTTGGGGTTTGCTTGCTTAATACCTGCTAGCTCAGCATAGATGATGGCAACAGGTGTAACGAGAGATATTATTATAAAGGTGAGTTGAATCAGAAGGTAGAGAATATCTTAAGACTCATGAAATGGATACTAAGGGAGGCCATTTTCCTTTAAAAATATTAAGAGATATGGTATCTTTACATAAATCATGTTTTACTTTTTATCCTCTAGATAGGCCAGAGTCTTAAGCTTTGTGAATACAGGGATAAATTTTGACCCTGAAAACGTGTAAATGGTTCCATCATATTTAGGAAATTCTGCCATTGGATTGATACTAGTTAGTCGATAAAGCAGATCCTAAAATCATCAATGCAATAATATATTTAAATTTTGGCATTCTTTCTGGATAAGCTTCAAAGCTTAATTTTGTTATTTCTCATTTTAATTGCTCTATATTTTTATCAAAATCCTTTCTGTTATTTTTCTTTTCTTGTTGGCATTTTTTAAAGCCTCCTTATTTTGTGTATTTGAAAGTTTAATGAATGTACTGTTTACTTCTGTTTCTTTTAATAAAGATGCATGTCATCTGGAACTTCTGGTTAATGTGAATTCCATTTTCAAGTAGTCCCTCACCTAGTGTTAATTAGCAGGTCTTCTGACTGTCTTCATTATTTTCTGATTACTCAAATGCCTTTTTATAGGTTTTATCCTATAAGACTTCGAAGCAAAATTTGCTTAGCTACATCAGAATTGTCCTTTGTAACAAATATCTGTAATTTATGCACCCAAGTGAATTTAATTCTTCAAAGTAGCTGTCGTGGAAGGTTCCACATTGATTTACTTATTTCCCAAACTTCTAAGCATTTTGAAAACCTCCCATTTTGGAACTGTTTTCATATCTAGTTGATAAACTATGTGAAGGAAATCAGTCTTCAATATTTATTCGTCACAGTTATTTTTTACTCCAAAACTTTACTCAGATTAACCCACCTGTTCATCAAACTTAGCTCTATATCACTCAAAACACAGCTTCAGAGGACAAATAAGCTAACACAGAAGATGAAAAGAACATGCCAGAAGTTCTGGAAGCAGTTTTCAGAAACTAATCCTGTTGGTAACTAGAAGACTCATATCCATATATAGGTCTTAATTTAAAAAAATAATCAAAATAATATTATAACTACATTGTAGATCTTATATTTCGAAGTAGAACTTTGGAACCTAAAATCCAATTTTTATGATTCCACTTACAAGGTTACTCTTTAGTTTAATGTTACTAATATAAGTTTTTTTAAACCAGGTTTTAATGTTTTAATAATAGATACATATTTTATATAATAAATTTATGTTCAATGTAGAAAATAAAGTCATACAAAAAACTTTTAAAAATCACCCATGATTCCATCACCTAAAATAAACTTTTTCCATAAAGCACCAGATGGTAAAAATACATTAAGCTTTGTAGGCCATACTGTTTCTGTTGCAACTACTAAGCTTTGCTATTATAGCAGGAAAGCAGCCACCAGCATGGCTGTGATCTAATAAAACTTTATTTACAAAAATAGGCAGCAGGCTAGCTTTAGCCCACACAGGTAGTAGTTTGCCAACACTTGACCTAGATTATTATAATCATAACTGTTACTTCATACTATTTACACAATAATATATGTGAATAGACAGAAACATGAGGTCACTAACATTTTTCAATTAGCAATAAATCAAGAATATCTTTCCATGTCAGTAAATATAGAGTTGGATCATGATTTATAACAAATGATACTTACTCATATGGGGAGGTACTATAATTTATTCAACTAATCTTCTTTGATATTTGGGTTATTTCTGCTTTGCACTTTTACCATGTTAAATAGATACGGAATGGGAGTTTGGTTGCCTCAGAATGAAGG